TAAAAATAAATGAAACTGCATCACCTAGTTAGTTTCAATTAAGGGCCCCGAAAAAAAAAACGTAGACGCATTCATCCCATTAAATAAATCTAGTTAAAGAAATCTAAATAAAGGTAGCTTTTAACAGGCACTAAAATGTTTTCTAAATTTCGCTACCAAAGAGAAAATAGTCGGTGAACTGCAGGTTTTTTGTGTAGTAAAATACGTACTAATTTAAATAACCAAATTTTACTGTAATTGCTACAGGTGTTTAGGATAAATGTGGCATGATTCAAAAAAATTACAAATTCGTTCATACTCTGTAGCTACAAAAAGTGTTATAGAACAAAAGCATGCAATTAGAACACGTGTAGGTTTAGATTTAGTAGTAAAAAGTAGAAAAAAATTAAAGCGTATGCTTTATATTTTTTCCGGTAGATACGATGCAATTTCTACGTGTATTTTTCCACCATCCGCCACCAAAGAAATTCAGCAGATATAATTACCAGCTATGTCTGAGTTTAAATCGGCGCGAAGCGTCTGTTTTAGTAAACTTACATGTTTAATCTCCATGAAAAATGTAAATAAAATCTAAATAACAAAACATGACTCTGAAAAGTCTAAATATAACTCTATGAGATACGCAGGAAACATGTAGGTAGAAAAAATGTTTCAGGAGTAACTGCAGAACCTCCTGTAGACCGAACGCCTATTTCTTCTTCGTGAGTCTAGTAAAAATTACCAATGGACAATTTGTTTAAAAGACAGTAGGAATTGCCAGCTTTTACCACGAACATTGTGATCTGTTATAAAACAAGTCAATAAACAACCAAAACAATTTGTTTAAAAAACCGTATTTCAATATATAACCGAAATTATCCCTAATTCCTACTTAATTAATGTTAAAGAACACATAAAATAACATAATTAGTAATCATTGGTTTATTACATGCGTGGTTAAAATATTTTTCTTCTCTCTTTTGAGAAATACCTATTTATGTACCGATCTAGAGTGCCATTTTACCATTTTGCATAAATATTAACCATTTAGTATTAACAAACGCTAAGCAGTATAGTTTATTGTATACGTTTTAAAAAACAACGCTCATAAACAAAATTCCCCCAAAATAATAAAGCCCATTTCAAATACATGGATTTTATTGTAATGCTTTAACGTTCAGCACTATCGGATACCTTCGAATGGAAATGTAGATTAAATATATGTTACTACTGCTCTTGTTGGTATCGGAAGACTTCAAGCTTGGAGAATGGAATTGTTTTGCGCGTTTGAGAACTGTGTTTTTCCATCTGTTTTTCTTTTTAAACAAACTCGAACATTGCGTGCTATGTAATTACTATTTACACCGTAATTATATAGCACTTGGGTCTAGTTTGGTTTAATGGGTAATTATTTATTAACTAGATATTAAACGGTAGGTCGCAGTTTTGTATGCTTCGAAACAAGCCCTCGTTTGCTAAAATCTGATGAGTCGTTTCAGTAGTCACGAAATACAACAAAAAGCGCACTAGAAAAAGTTAAACAGACAAGTAGTCTAAAATACTTGGGAATCTTATTTGACCAATGCCTCAAATGATCGCCTTACGTAGAGCACTTAGAAAATACAATAAAAAATTGTGTTACCAAGTCCCTTATTAGTAGTTGCGCTGTAGAATCTACTTAACGATCTGTTTACAACAAACGCTTGAAAAAATTTCAAATAAGTTAAACTTATATACACCGAATGGCTAAAATGTGAAAAAAGTTATTTTGAAAATCAGGCATCGGATTTCAAGAACAATGTTCACTCATATAATGTCACTTGTGCCGCATGTTTGGAATTATAAAAGCACATATCACAATATATCAAATATTTTGCTAAGTTTTGCATAAAGTTCATGTTGTCTACATTGGTTTTAAGTATTTGATGTGTAGTTTGAATATTTTTTTTTTAAATAGAAGTTTGAAAATTGTTTTAAAATTAATTTTATGTGATTTTAGGTTACAAAATGCCACGACAAACACAGCGACATGTCATGACCGATCTGGTTAAAACAGCTTATAAGCTATATTTTGGATTTTCTATCGATGAGCGAGATAAAAGTTGGTTGCCAAAAGAATGCTGCAATAGCTGCTCAAGAACGTTGAGAGGTTGGCTTGAAGAAAGTCCCAAATCCATGCCCTTTTTGAATGCCAATGATTTGGAGTGAGCCTCAAAATCATGAGAATGATTGTTATTTCTGCATGACATCTACACGAGGATTCTCGGAAAAAAATAGAGATAAGATTGTTTATCCGAACGTCCTATCTGCAAAGAGACCAATTCCTCGTGATAAAGACACTCCACCTCCATATTCACCAGTTAATGAGGAGGCTGAAAATAAAAATATTTCAGGCCTACAATCTCAATCGAGTTTTCTTTCTGGTAGTACATCTTCATACATTTTATCTGGATCTTCATGTCCGTCTACAGAACCTCATTTACTTGAACAAGGCGACTTAAATGATCTTGTGAGTTAGAGACTTGGGACTTTCAAAATCTAAGGCACAGATTGTTTATCCGAACGTCCTATCTGCAAAGAGACCAATTCCTCGTGATAAAGACACTCCACCTCCATATTCACCAGTTAATGAGGAGGCTGAAAATAAAAATATTTCAGGCCTACAATCTCAATCGAATTTTCTTTCTGGTAGTACATCTTCATCTTCATACACTTTATCTGGATCTTCATGTCCGTCTACAGAACCTCATTTACTTGAACTTGAACAAGGCGACTTAAATGATCTTGTGAGTTAGAGACTTGGGACTTTCAAAAACTAAGGCACAGATTGTTTATCCGAACGTCCTATCTGCAAAGAGACCAATTCCTCGTGATAAAGACACTCCACCTCCATATTCACCAGTTAATGAGGAGGCTGAAAATAAAAATATTTCAGGCCTACAATCTCAATCGAGTTTTCTTTCTGGTAGTACATCTTCATACATTTTATCTGGATCTTCATGTCCGTCTACAGAACCTCATTTACTTGAACAAGGCGACTTAAATGATCTTGTGAGTTAGAGACTTGGGACTTTCAAAATCTAAGGCACAGATTGTTTATCCGAACGTCCTATCTGCAAAGAGACCAATTCCTCGTGATAAAGACACTCCACCTCCATATTCACCAGTTAATGAGGAGGCTGAAAATAAAAATATTTCAGGCCTACAATCTCAATCGAATTTTCTTTCTGGTAGTACATCTTCATCTTCATACACTTTATCTGGATCTTCATGTCCGTCTACAGAACCTCATTTACTTGAACAAGGCGACTTAAATTATCTTGTTAGTTAGAGACTTGGAACTTTCAAAATCTAAGGCACAGATTGTTTATCCGAACGTCCTATCTGCAAAGAGACCAATTTCTCGTGATAAAGACACTCCACCTCCATATCCACTAGTTAATGAGGAGGCTGAAAATAAAAATATTTCAGGCCTACAATCTGAATCGAATTTTCTTTCTGGTAGTACATCTTCATGTTCATACACTTTATCTGGATCTTCATGTCCGTCTACAGAACCTCATTTACTTGAACAAGGCGACCTAAAAGATCTTGTTAGTTAGAGACTTGGGACTTTCAAAATCTAAGGCACAGTTACTCGGATCAAGGTTAAAACAGTGGAATCTATTGGCTAAAAGTACCATATTTTCGTAAGAGGCAAGAAAGTTTTACAAGTTACTTCTCCAAAGAAGATGATTTGGTATATTGTAATGATGCTGCAGGGCTTCTTCAATAACTAAGTTTTCCAGAAGATTCTAGTGAATGGAGACTTTTTATTGATGCTTCAAAAATAAGCTTGAAAGTCTTTCTGCTTCATAATGGTAATAAATACCCATCTGTCCCCATTGCACATGCTACAAGCATAAAAGAAAATTATGCAAACCTTGAGCTATTACTTGAGAAAATTAAATATTCTCAATACCTATGGAATATTTGCGCTGATTTAAAAGTTGTCGCTATACTGACTGGACTACAAGGAGGATACACAAAATTTTGCTGTTTTCTTTGTGTGGGATAGCCGCTCAATAGATAAACATTACAAAGTAAAAACCTGGCCATCAAGAAAAAGTTTGACTCCTGGACTTAAAAATGTTTCTCATAAACCGTTAGTGCCATGCGAGAAAATTTTTCTGCCACCCCTTCATATAAAGTTGGGACTCATAAAAAACTTTGTGAAAGCTATGAATAAAGATGGTGCAGGTTTTCAATACTTAAAAAAAAAATTTCCTCGAATCAGTGACGCGAAATTATAGGAAGGAATTTTTGTAGATCCGCAGATACGTGAGCTCATGAAGGATGAGGTTTTTGATTCGAAGTTGAGCAAAGCAGAAAAAAGAGCTTGGGCAGCGTTTGTGGAGGTGTGTCATAATTTTCTTGGGAACGCAAAAAGTGACAACTATCAACAAATCATTCGGGAGCTACTTTGTGCTTATAAAACTTTAGGATGCAATATGTCACTCAAGATCCATTTTTTAGACTCACATTTAGATTTCTTTCCTGAAAATCTTGGAGCTGTATCAGATGAGCATGGTGAAAGGCTTCATCAGGATATAATGCAAATTGAAAAACGCTACAATGGAAATTGGTCAGCATTTGGTCTTGCTGATTTCTGTTGGTCAATTCGAGAAACTCCAACGGAATCTGTGAAGAGGAAGAAAACTACTAAATAATTTGAATTCTATCACTCCATTATGAAATAACTGACGATATTTATTAGTTTTGTTAATATAATTTAGGATTTTTTACTGTGAAACTCAAGCCGCCACATTTTTTTATTTCCTTATAATAATTTATACTTTAATAATATTGTTTTTTGATGAAATAAATATTAAATTAAAAACCTACGTGTTGTACTTCTTTGTATATCAAATTCCGTGTTTAGAGCATAAAATAAGATGAATTCATGCAGACCATTTTTTGCAGATATAATTAAACAACCCAAATAAATGACCGACACTAAAACCTGTTTATTTTTTTTTCAGATCATGTCCCGCAATCAGCTAACGGAAGGCACAGATACCACGTCCACGATGTCCACAGTCCACGAAATGGTGAGCGCAGGCCCAAGGATCCGTACCGACGTGCATCACGAAAACAACCAACTCAATCGATAGTTACAGAAAGGCCAAGCCTATGGATAGTGCCAGTTTCAATGTATCGTATATTTCGAACTTAACAAGTCAGAATGAGGCAGAAGACATCGACGTGTTGCCAACGTTTATACTTTTCGTCAAGGCAACAATCATGGGAAGCATCATAATCGCATCGATCTTCGGTAACCTTCTCGTGATAGTGTCAGTCATGCGCCACAGGAAGCTCAGAATCATTACCAATTACTTCGTTATATCTTTAGCCTTAGCCGATATGTTAGTCGCCATGTTCGCCATGAGTTTCAATGCCAGTGTGGAAATTTTCGGAAAATGGTTGTTTTCTCCTAGGATGTGCGACGTGTGGAACTCTCTGGACGTTTACTTTTCCACAGTTTCCATCCTCCATTTGTGCGACATAAGCGTAGACAGATTCTACGCGATATGTAAACCGTTGAAGTATACCCTTCACATGACTAAGAAAGTCGTTGCTCTTATGTTGCTGAACACGTGGGTAAGTCCGGCCTTTTTAAGTTTTCTTCCCATATTCATGGGTTGGTATACCACAGACGACCATCTGAAATTTCGCGAGGATAACCCGGAGAAGTGTATATTCGTAGTTAACAAACCGTACGCCGTTATCAGCAGTAGCATATCGTTCTGGATACCCTGCACCATAATGATAATAATGTACTTTTTAATATTCCTCGAAGCTAACAAACAAGAACGGGAGTTGCACACCAGACACGGTGCCGCTCTCCTTTTGCACGCGAGCAATACGAACGGGGACGTGATGTCCAATTCGGGAGGCTCGTCTAAAGCTTTAACGTTGAACGAAATCAACCAAGATGCGCACCACACCCCGACGAGAGAAAGAAGTCTGAGCAGAATGAAAAGGGAGCACAAGGCCGCTAAAACTCTGGGCATCATCATGGGAGTCTTCATGCTGTGCTGGCTTCCGTTTTTTCTCTGGTACGACAGCGTATCTCTGTGCAGCACCTGCAAATGCCCCCCCATTGTAGTCGCCATTTTGTTCTGGATCGGCTACTTCAATTCCACCCTGAACCCGATCATTTACGCGTATTTCAATCGGGATTTTCGAGAGGCCTTCAAGAACACGCTGCAATGCGCGTTTTGCTGCTTGTGCCAGAGACCGCCCTCAGATCTAAACTACATCGACAACAGGAGACCATCGATACGACATGAAGACAGATCGCGCGGAACCTACTCGGAAACTTACCTGAAGCACGTGGATAGAAGGGGATCGGAGTTTGGATCCACACTTTGATCGCAGTTGACCAGTAGCAGGTTGACTACGACCAGTTTTTAAATCTTACTATGGCCCGAATGACCGTAATTTACGCCAAAAGTATTTTACTGCAGGAAAAATTACTAGAAAACATTTTAATTGTTTAAAACAAATAACAAAAGCAATATAGATTTAAAAGTTCACTTCGTATGGCAACCCTAAAGTTTTTATCTTCCAGATTAGCAAGGTTTAAGCTAGGTTCATTTTTAGGTTTATCCATGTCTTTAGGAGCTAAATCTAGATAAGTTTCTAAGATCTGAGGAATCTACAAAATACTTCTTGTGAATTTCTTACTCCGTTAAGTTTGGTTAGTCTTGTTTGTAAAGGTCATTTTTCGATTCAGCAGCATCTTCACCATAGTAACGGACAATTTTCAATTATTTGCTTGGCATGCGCCAAAACTTTATGGATGGGAAACCAAGGATTCAAACTTACCAATAATGTTCGAGATTAAAAGCAATGCGTTTCAAATTTTTATAGATCAAGATTTTATGAAATTTCCTTAGTTTATGTGCAATTTTTTTCCCACAAGTTTGTTATGATCTGCTTTAATTTCAATTCTGTAGCCGATACGGAGCACACATTCAAAAAATGATATCCGGCAGCGTAATGCACTAATTTGATAACGAGCCTTTAACCTTCATAAATAAAGCTTCATATGGTACAAGCTTGATATGATTTAGTATTTGCAACGATATTTAAAATTCTGCCAGTGATCACTGTTAAGCACATTTTGAAAATTTTTCTTGATTTAGCACATCTGTCGGTGGAACCGAGGCAATTATTTCAGGTTTTTTTTTTGCTGGCAAAATGTTTTCATAACTTGGCAATTCGTCTCCTCGCCTCCAATTCTGATGTTTATGTACTGAGTTTTTCCAAAATTATCTTCTAATAAGAAAGCGTTTCATTTGTTTCGGTCTGCTAGGGCTCATTGCAATTTCCTTCAGAACCTTAGAAAGGTCTTTTTGACCACTAAATTTGGGATTTGTTGGTGCTTTATAAAAAGCTTGAAGGCGTCCCTTTGCTTGTGACCTTAACCTTGTTTTTTTTAAATGATTTTGATTTTAGCTCACTTGTGAGTCAAATGTCTTGTACCGCACTTGCTGCGTAATATACTATTCTTCAACTGTTTCTTAAAGAAAACTCCTCCAAACCAGAGAAAATAGTAAATTATGCAACAAGTGGGGTAAACGATATTTGAGTCATTAGTTTATTTGGTACTAACGAAACGAGTGACCTAAAAAAGTTGTTACATACTATACTTTTTACAGTCGTTAGTTTTTGGGTATATTTTTGCAAAATGACACGAATACATTCACTGAGGTAACGTCAGAATCGACAAACGTCAAAATTGAAGCCGAAGTGCCTCGGATCCGTGGGTCAGGAAGCTCACGTGGTGAAGTGACGCTTCTCGCACACTAGATTAGGGTATAATTGGGTATTTTGTAGAAGAGAGTAACAAAAATGTTTTATTTAATTCATTGAATTGAATCGAAACCTTTGGCGCAAATTACGATCATTCAAACCATTAATGTACCAGAGTTGGAATATTTTCGCTTGTTTTCCCAAACATCTGAACACACGCGAATTTTCCAACACGGTTTTCATCCAATGCCAAATATTTTTTTAAAATGGTGCTGTTTTCTATTTCCTATTAGCTTATAAATTTTTGCGACATTTACAAAAGTAACGTGACGTGTTTTAGCTTGACGTGAGTGTAAATAGACGTTTCGCTTTGTAAAATTGCTAGTCCTTAGAGCAATAGTTAGTGTACTAGGAACACCCCCCGCAATAACGGCGACGTTGGATTGCTGCATAGAAAATAAAGTTAAATTATTTATTTCATTGTATAATTTATTTATCTGGAAAACTAACTGAAACCGTACTCGCAGTGCTGTCTTAAATATTTTGAAATTCTTTGAGCCTTTCAAAAGAAGTCCATTTTAACATTACCGTTCGAACAGTAAGCTGCGAAAAAATACCTAATCGGAAACGTTATTATAAATATGGGTAAGTTGCTATAAAAAACACTTATTTTAATAGTAATATCCATTTACTGTTGAGTTAACGAAAAAAGACAACTAGTGGCAACATTCGAATTTTCTTACACTTATGAAGAATTTTATTCTTATATCAAATCATTTACTAACTATTCTTGTTTTTAAAGTTTCTAATTTAAATTATTCCAATAACCTGTAACATCGACCAGAAATGAATTCGTATTACATTTTGAGTCGCTCAGTTCAGAGGCTGGTTTATCTATTATTCTTTCAGCATTTCCTCTTCGCTTAGCACAGTAATATGTAACGTCAGCTGCCATTTCATGCAAAGACGCCTTGAACTGCCGATGATCAAAATTTATGATTTGTACCACAACTTTCACTCTGGAGCCAAATAGACTTGGCACACAAATTTTGTTAGTGGATAATGCAATGAAGGACCGTCATGTCATCAAAATTTTGATGAAACCTTTACGAAAGCCGACCACGGAAGGTACACTCAGTACCAAAACTTGTAACTTTTTAATGACTGTAAAACGAGCAGTTGCTCTGTAACAGTGAGCACTTTATCAACACCTCCAATAAATAAAGTGAACGGAGCTGTTTTCTGCTGATGATTTAAAACCAGCCATACATATTATTATTAGTAGTAGTATGTTTTCGTTAGGAAATTCATTTTTTTTTCAGGACACAAAACACTGCAAAAACTTCCTACATATACTCCTTGTTTCACTACTTCCAATATATTTACAACTACGTCTGTCGCACTTAAAACCATGACGGTAGTAAACAAAAATTATTGTGAAAAAATACGTCTAATAAACTGTACGGGTGATAGAAATCGTCATTGTAAGTAAAAAAATCAGTCTTTGAGCAATAACCAACCTACTAGAGGCAGTTTCTGCTATTAATTCATATATTTCGCTCGCTTTAAAGATATCAATTTAAAGTTATTGTGGTTAATTCTTGCAAAAAGAGCCTTTGATAACTAGAAGAAGATAAGGGTGGTAACACCTCCAAAAAGAGTCATCGAATCTGATAACTCGAAGATGTCAGAAACGTACTACGAAATAGTGTTTGGGTGAAAAAGAAGGCTCTGCCCCCAAATATTTACGACTATGTAGGTTTTAATAATATCTAACATGCTTAGGACGATTTTCTACGAATTATTAGCTACTCCAAATTCCAAATTCAAAGCTCTAAATGTCAGCGATATATTTTAATGAATAGAAAATATAAATACTCTTTGTCCCCCTGTAGATTGGACTTAGGCTATGGAACAAAAATAATTGAAGTTTTTGACTAGGCTGAATTGGGTTTGAAGGAAGGAATTGAAGATAGACATCGTAATAAGTAAAACAGTTCAATCTCGATGAGTGGCGGAGCTGGTGGGGTAGTTTCTGCTATTAATTAAAATATTTCGCTTGGTATTAAAGATATCAGTTTGAAAGTTAGTGTGGTTAATACTGCAAAAAAAATAATCCAATTTGATGACTGGAAGATGTCAAAGACGTACTGCGAAATATTTTTGGGAGAATCAAGGAGTCTCTGCCCCCAAAAAAGTACCATCCTGTAGAATTTAGAATTCTTTAACACGCATAAGACGATCTTCTAAAAATTATTAGCTACACTGAATTTCAAAATCACATCTTTAAAAGTGAGCGATGTATTTTATTCATAACAAAAATAAAAAAAATGACCACTACTGATCGAGATAGGATTCAAGGCTATGACACAAAAATAGGGTGATTCGATATCAATATGAAAGTTGTTGTGGTTATACTCCCAAAAAGATGTAGTACGAAATAGTTTTGGGAGGATAAAGAAGTTTCAAAAGCGTACCATCCTGTCGATTTTGAAAATCTAAATGTTTAAGTTGATAATTCTAAAAGTGAGTTAGTTTAAAAAATAAATAATCCTTGACCCCGCTACAAATCCGCTACTGACAGATCAGATCTACTCTATAACATAGGAAGTTTTTGACTTGGGCAATAATTGACTCTCATACACACAGGGTGATTGAGTCTAAAGCCACAAACTGAAGCAAAGAAGAAGAAAGTCCGATCTCGATCAGTAGCGTAGCTGCGCGGTAGTTTCTGCTATTAATTAAAATGTTTCGCTCACTTAAAGATTTCAGTTTGAGAGTTGGTCTGGTTAATACTACCAAAATGAGTCTGATGATGATGATGATGATGAGATAGATAGATCATTGATTCACAAAATCCATTACAATGTATGTTTCTTCACAAAAAATAACATTAAAATGTTTTAAAATAGATGAAGTAGTAAATGTGTATGTCTTACAATAAAGTGATACATATAAGATGAGTATAACAAACAATACAAATACGTCAATCTAACATTACCAACATTAATTGAGAACATGCGCTTCGAATTCAATTAGGCTATAAAAAGCATTAGTTGTCACATGTCTCTCAAATTGCTTGGTGGCATGGTTCTTTAAGCTCGACGGGAGCATATTATAATGGTGTGTCATTGCATAACTTAAAGATCTTCTACAAAATATGTGATTCGGTTTAGGCTTTAAGAGATTTTCCCTGTTACGAGTGTAGTGACAATGGTTATCAATGTGTTTCTTATGTAAATATTTATTGTTGTGTGTAACTAGCATTATTTTAAATATGTATATACCAAGAACCGTTATTAGTTTGTGTTGCTGAAATATTTCTTTGCAAGACTGTCTTGGAGAAAGTTTAAAAATTAGCCTAAGTATTCTGTTCTGCTGTACAAACACCCTTTCAGCATCACTAGCTTGCCCGCAGTTCACAATGTTGCAAGAAATTGATTAGTATGCCGGAGCATAATAAAAGACTAACAGTGATCTCGCAAGAAATGAGTCTCTAATTGTTAACATGGCAAAGAATGTTGTATTTAGTTTACTACAAATACTGTTTTTTTCTTGATCCCACCATCAATGTAGGAGTCAAGAAATCTTGTGCTCTGACTTTTTCCTAAAGATGTTCCAGAGAAATTAAAGGATAAGTCATGTAAAGGTCTAATGTACTGGCCAGTAAATCCAACCACAACTGTTTTCTTTAAAATTATGATCGACATCGAGTTTGTCATAAATATGCTGGACAAGCTCGATTGTGCCCGTTTCCGTGGAGCACCCTTCGGAAACCATGTATGAAATTATTTTTTCTTGTCTTAAGAAATGCTGAATTCGGTTGCACACTCTAATATTTTAGATAAGCAACTTGCTATTGTTATAGGTATATAATTATCGCTTAATGTGGAGTCCCGTTTTTTTGAATTCCGGCATCGAGTTTTTTAATGCTCGGGGAAATTGCCCAAACGAAATTGACTACTTAATGGTTGTTGTTAAGTACGGAACTAGAATATCACAACATGCCTTTATAAGTCGTATAGGAGTTTCGTCGTTACCAGAAGATCTCAGAAAATATCAGAGATCTACTAAGAAAAAATTTCGGGGGGATAAAGAAGTCTCTGGCTCCGAAAACGTATCGCCTTGTAGATTTTAAAAATATTTAAATTTTTTAAATACCTCCGCGACTGATCGAGATCCGACCCATGTCTATATAAACATTTAAATATATTCCTGCTGAAATTTAATACTTCCTGCGGTGCAATAAATTTATAATAAACAGTTTCGGGTCATTTGGAAATACAATGTTTAAAAATATGAAAGTTGCAGTGATTAATCAAACCTAATTGTTATTTTGGAACGGAATATTTAATTCCGTCCTTTGGCACCTCTTCACATAAACGCGTCGGCCAACTTTAAATCGAATAAAAACGCTCTCGAAAATAAATTTTCGGCTAAATTATTTTAATGGGGTGTTTTGCGGAGTCTAAAAATGAGCTGGATGTACGCGGCGACCTGAGGAAACTTCTGCTCGCCATACGGACTTTAAGAAAAACTAAATTCGCAAAAAAGCATAAGTCATTGTGGTTTTTTAGGAAAGAGTTCGTGTATTGCGATTGATCGCGGTCAGTTTGTCCGCGTAGGTAAATTTTGCAGCTAGAGGACGGAGTACCACAAAGTTCCGTCCTTGGAACAATGCTTTGTTCGATAATTTCGTCATTTTTCGCATATATAGACCAATTTTTATTTTTTTTATATCAACAGGACGTTCCGTGCATCCAGAAGAAAAATATCGGCTTTCTTATTGCCCTTTTTCGATTTCACGGGAAATTCTAGATATATTTAATGTACTCTCTTGCATTTTGAAATAGTGTTCAAATAATTAATGATTTAGCATTTTCGTATTCTAATAATAGATTAATCGGGCAACTCAGGAACGTTACTTTCCAAGATACCATCTACTTATATGTCAGTTCGAAACGAGTTCTCTGTCATTGATTGGATTAATATGATTTTTTTATCAACACCCAGAGCGTATTCGGAAAATGAAAGATTGGATCTACAGTGAGTCACAGCTTAAATGCAGTCGCTATAACAAAAACTAACTGGTCTGATTATCTCTTTATTTATTTGGGAAAAAAACAACTTATTGAAATTAAGTCCGTGAAGAGCCTTTTAAAAAAGTGTGAATTACTTGTGTTAAATATGCTTTACTTAGTTAACAATAAAGAATTAATTAAATTATATACAATGTTAACGTCATAGCATAAATGATGCAAAACCAAGTATAACCAAAGCAATAGAGAAAAACTGCATAACATGAAATTCTCCTGCTAATACTAAGCTAAGTCGGCCCTCCCTCATTACCGATAACGTCTCATAGTCTTCTACTTTGTTTTTTAATGTCAACCACAAATTTTAATCTGATGACTTTGCTGGTGTCTTAATAACATTTAGACAATTATGACGCGTGCTTTCGATCATTGTCATGATAGAAC